CATCGTCATCATCGTCACCGCCATCACCATCATCATCGTCATCATCAGCACAATCATCATAGTGTCGTCATCGTCGTCGCCAGCATGGTCGAAGTCCTTTTCGTCCGTCATGGAACTGTTCTGGGCCGTCATGGGGGGCTCTGGGCGTGAGTGGGTTTTCATGGGCGTGTGTTGGGGTCGGTCGGTGCTGCGCGGAAACCTAGGGGGCCATCTCCCTGGGAAGCCTCGCGGGGAACTTGTTCGCAACGTCGTATCCCATGCCATGGTACTTGGGTCACTGTGGGGCTTGCGAAGTGAATACAGGGGCCACACATGGATGCAAGGGTTGGGTACATCTGGCCTGACAGAGTGGGTGGGGGATGTGTAGGGCGAGGACGGCGTCCTGTTGCGATTGGCTCAGGATGGTCCCTGGGGAAACTAGAGTACGATCGTGAACTTCGGCATAGCGTGTCACGGCAGCCGCCCTGGCGATACGCTATGCCGTGCAAAGCTGGTCGTGATGGCCGTCTTCATCAGAATCCGCATCATCATACTCGTCATCGTCATCGCAGTCGCCATCGTCAGCATCAGCTTTATGTTACGTGCTCTGGAGAAGCGTTTCTGGAGCACGTAAATGGGGGGCTGGCGGACATGTCCATCACCAGCATCACCACCACCACCACCACCACCATCATTATCATCATCACAATGACCATCTCCATCATCATCACAATCACCATCACAGTCACGATCATCATCATCATCATCATCATCATCATCATCATCATCATCATCATCATCATCGGCATCAGCATCAGCATCACCATCATCATCATCATCATCATCAGCAGCAGCATCAGCATCAGCATCAGCATCAGCATCAGCATCATCATCATCATCATCATCATCATCATCATCATCATCATCATCATAATCATAATCATAATCTGCCTCAGCATCATCAGCAGCAGCATCATCATCATCATAATCAGCATCGTCATCATCATCATCATCATCATCATCACCATCATCATCATCATCATCGTCATCAGCATCTTCAGCAGCAGCAGCATCTGCATCATCATCAGCATCATTATCATCATCATCATCATCATCATCATCATCGTCATCGTCATCGTCATCATTATCGTCATAAACATCAGTATCATCATCATCCTCATCATAATCATCATCATCTTCATCGTATGCATCATATTCATCATCCAAATCATCGTTATCAGCATCGTCATCATCATCATTATCTTCATCATCCAAATCATCATTATCAGCATCATCACCTTCATCATCCCAGTCAGCATCATCATCAGCATCATCATCAGCATACTCATCATCATCATCATCATCATCATCATCATCATCATCATCATCATCATCATCATCATCATCATCATCATCATCATCATCATCAACAGCACCATCACCATCACCATCACCACAGTCATGCTCACCGTCAGCACAATCATCACCATCAGCATCGTCATCGTCGTCGTCATCGTTTTTCGTCATGGAACTGTTCTGGGCCGTCATGGGGGGGCTCTGGGCGAGAGCGGGTCTTCATGGGCGTGCCTTGGGGCCCCGTGGGAGCTGCCTGGGGAGCCACACGAGGCCCGCTGGGGGAAGCCGTGGGGCCCTCTGAGGTTGCCGAGGGGGCCCTCGTCGGCCGCCTTCAGGCGCGCTCGGTCAGGCTGCCGGGGGCTGTTCGGGCGTCTCGGGGGCACCCTGGGGAAAGTGGGGGGCCCTCTCGAGGCTACCTGGGCCCATCATGGGCCCAGGCAGCCTCGAGAGGTCCGCCCATCATGGGCCCCTGCATGGGCCGCCCATGCAGGGCCGCGTTAGACCGTTCGGGGCCGTCTCCGAGCGAAAGTGGAAGCGTCTGGGGCCGTTCCGGAGTGCGCCGGAGGTGGACACGCGCAGACTCGAAAATCCGGCAACAAACCCTGGTGAAATGCACGGAATGCGGCCCTGGGGGCCCCCTCTTGGGCAGGTTTTCGGCTGCTTCGTGGGGGCGTCTTGGAGGCATATGGGGTGCCTGGAGGCTGTCTTAGGCGTCTGGAGTCGCTATTTCGGCGAGGGGGGGGCATCCCCAGAGCGTCTGTGGCTTTGCGGGGGCTGGTTGGAGGCTTCGGGGGCCCTCTTGAGACCATCTGGGGCTGCTTTCGGGCAGTGTTGGAGGCCTCCTGGGCCGTCTCAGGGGGAAGTGGAGGGCGTCTCGGGCCGTTGCGGATTACACTGGAGCTGGACAAGCGAAGTCGAGGGCGTCGGGGGCCGTTTCGGATTGCACATGCATGAAAAACCTTGGGGCGTCTTGGAGGCATCCTGGGCTGTCTGGAGGCTGTCTTGGGCGTCTTGGGTCTTTATTGGCAAGGAGGGGCTCCCTGGATCGTGTTCGACAGGTCTGAGGGGCAGGTTGGCAGCTTCGTTGGAGGGCTGGGGGCCCTCTGAGCCTGTTGTTGGGCCGTGTTGAAAGGTTCCTGGGCAGTCTCAGAGCCAGCTCGAGGGCGTCAGGGGCCGTTTCGGATTGCACCGGAGCTGGACAAGCGCACGCGTGAAAATGCATGAAACACCTTGTAAAATGCACGAAGTTCGGCCCTTGGGGCCTCTTGGGCAGGTTTTCGGCAGCTTCTTGGGTCGTCTTGGAGGCATCCTGGGCTGTCTGGAGGCTGTCTTGGGCGTCTTGGGTCACGACGGTGGTGAGCTGGGGCGGCTCTGGGCTTGTCTGGGATGGCTCCTGGAGGCCCAGGGCACCCATGGCGACTCGGCGCAGCTGGCAGGGCGCCCCCCCGGAGCGGCTCCCGGAAGCCCGGCGCAGCCATGGCGACGCGGGGCAGCTGGCCCGGCCCCCCCCCCTGGCCCCCCCCCTGTGGCCTGGAAAAGGTGTATGTGTGTGTGTGTGCAAATGTATGCTTAAAATAAAGATATAGAGACAGACGCCAATCCTAATTAGGTGTGTGTGTGTGTAGACCGCTGGCTTGCAACACCACTTCGCTCTCCCTCCGGGACTTCGCCCCAGGCTCCTGTCCAAGGCGTGCCTTCTCCTGTGCAAATTCTTCGGCACCGCCTGCACCCCGCGCCCTCCGGCCGCCTCAGGCCCCGCCCGCCCGCGCCCTGTCTCCCCAATTAGTACTTGCGCGCCCCGCCTAGCTCTTAACCGGAAGAGGCCCGCTCTCGACCGGCAGATCAAATTATCCCGGCAAAGCAACCTAACAGCGATGTGTAGGAGCATATCTGGAAGCATTCCCCTTAAGATTCAGATGAGAATCCAGTTGTAGAATTCTGCTGTTCTCGCAATCGTAGTCGCATTCGCGATGACAGTGGCAGTGGCAACGGCAGTCGCAGTCACAGCCTCAGCCTCAGCCTCAGCCTCAGCCTCAGCCTCAGCCTCAGCCTGCCTCAGCCTCAGCCTGCCTCAGCCTCAGCCTCAGCCTGCTTCAGCCTCAGCATCAGTCTGCCTTCAGTCTCGGCCTCAGCCTCAGCCTCCCTCAGCCTCAGCCTGCATCTGCCTCAGCCTCAGCCTCAGCCTGCCTCAGCATCAGCCTGCCTCAGCCTCAGCCTCAGCCTGCCTCTGCCTCAGCCTCAGCCTGCTTCAGCCTCAGCCTCAGTCTGCCTCAGCCTCGGCCTCAGCCTCAGCCTGCCTCAGCCTCAGCCTGCATCAGCCTCAGCCTCAGCCTCAGCCTCAGCCTGCCTCAGCATCAGCCTGCCTCAGCCTCAGCCTCAGCCTCCTCAGCCTCAGCCTCAGCCTGCTTCAGCCTCAGCCTCAGTCTGCCTTCAGCCTCGGCCTCAGCCTCAGCCTGCCTCAGCCTCAGCCTGCATCAGCCTCAGCCTCAGCCTCAGCCTGCCTCAGCATCTGCCTCAGCCTCATCAGCCTGCCTCAGCCTCAGCCTCAGCCTGCTTCAGCCTCAGCCTCAGTCTGCCTTCAGCCTCAGCCTCAGCATCAGCCTCAGCCTCAGCCTGCCTCAGCCTGCAGCCTCTGCAGCCTCAGCCTCAGCCTCAGCCTCAGCCTCAGCCTCTGCCTTCAGCCTCGGCCTCAGCCTCAGCCTGCCTCAGCCTCAGCCTGCATCAGCCTCAGCCTCAGCCTCAGCTTGCCTCAGCATCAGCCTGCCTCAGCCTCAGCCTCAGCCTCAGCCTCAGCCTGCAGCCTCAGCCTCAGCCTGCTTCAGCCTCAGCCTCAGTCTGCCTTCAGCCTCGGCCTCAGCCTCAGCCTGCCTCAGCCTCAGCCTGCATCAGCCTCAGCCTCAGCCTCAGCCTGCCTCAGCATCAGCCTGCTTCAGCCTCAGCCTCAGCCTGCCTCAGCCTCAGCCTCAGCTGCTTCAGCCTCAGCCTCAGTCTGCCTTCAGCCTCGGCCTCAGCCTCAGCCTGCCTCAGCCTCAGCCTGCCTCAGCCTCAGCATCAGCCTGCCTCAGCATTCAAAATGTGGCCCGGGAATGGAGTTCTGGGAACTCGAAGAACACGAAGTGGCCTACAGTTGGCTCCGGGCATTCAAAATCATGCCCAGGAATGGAGTTCTGGGAACTCGAAGACCACGAAGTGGCCTACAGTTGGCTCCGGGCATTCAAAATCATGCCCAGGAATGGAGTTCTGGGAACTCGAAGACCACGAAGTGGCCTACAGTTGGCTCCGGGCATTCAAAATGTGGCCCAGGAATGGAAATCTGGGAACTCGAAGACAACGAAGTGGCCTACAGTTGGCTCCGGGCATTCAGAATGTGGCCCGGGAATGGGAGTTCTGGGACCTCGAAGACCACGAAGTGTGTAACTGTTGGCTAAACAAAGTCCCCGGCACCCTCCCCCGGATCGCGCCCAGACCCCCCTGGGGCGTCCTGATGCTCTCTTTGGACCCTGCTAGAACCCTATATCAGTCTTCGCTGTTAGGTACAAGTGTAGACCGCTGGCGGCGCTCCACCCTCGAGCGCCCGCGGCGGCGCCCCGCCCCCCACCCCGGAGGGCTGCTCGCCCCCGACGGGCGGACCCCCGACGGGCGGCGCCGGCGGGCGGGGCGCCCGC